TACTACTACTACTACTACTACTACTACTACTACTACTACTACTACTATTATTCATTGAGGTATGGTGAATCACTTGAGATCTGCATGTATGAAGACTGTGCAGGGAAGGATGAAGGCATGGGCCTTTGGAAGAATTTTCTTGGTGTTAGCAGAAAAATCACAATCTGGTCTATTCAAGATGGATTTTAGAGACAATAGAGAATGAATTTTTCCTCTCCTCCATCCTTATGGTATGTGTGAGGCTTCAAACATAATAGCTTTAGAAGACATACTTTGTTATTCCTGTTTCTAATTTCATTCTGTGCTTTATACAAATAATTTAACTCTGGCATGTAATACCAGGATTTCATCTTATGATATTATGATATCATCAGCATGGGGAGCTCCTTTCCCTGAGGAAGTTCATCTCTGCCTTAATAGATAAGTCTAAGGGAGTTGCCTTTGGCACAAAGAGGTGTTTTGGTTACACAGCTATGTTTGAGCCCTTCTTGACTGTAAGCCCAGTATTCTACCCACTATTCCATACTCTCCCTATCACTTAAATAGAGCAATGACCACATAAACCCTCTGTGATTAATTCTCTATGATATGTTATGATACTCTTATTTTTGAATACTTTATTTTTTTCATTACATGTAAAATTTTTTAAACATTAAAATTTTTTTTAGTTCCAAATTCTCTCCCTCCCTCCCTTTCCTCCACCCTCATTGAACAGGCAAGCAATTTGATAGAGGTATATACATGTACAGTCATGCAAAACATATTTCTATATTAGTCATATTGTGAAAGAAAACAGACAAAAAAGTCCCCAAGAAAAATAAAGTTAAAAAAAAGTATGCCTTGATCTGCATTCAGACTTTATCAGTTCTTTCTCTGCAGATGGATAGCATTTTTCATCATGAGTCCTTCCTGAGTGTTAGATCATTGTGTTGCTAAGAATAGCTAAGTCATTCATAGTTGATTTTCATACAATATTGTGGTTACTGTGTATGATGTTATCTTGGTTCTACTCACTTCACTTTGCATCAGTTCATGTCTTTCCAGGTTTTTCCTACTCATCACTTTTTATAGCACAATAGTATTCCATTGCAATCAACATTGAACAGCTTGTTCAGCCATTCCCCACTTGATGGACATCCCCTCAGTTTCCTATTCTTTGCCACCACAAAAAAGAATTGCTATAAATATTTTTGTATATATAGGTCTTTTTCCTTTTTTAAAAAAATCTCTTTGGTATACAGACCCAGTAGTGCTACTGCTGGGTCAAGGTATGCAGAAATTTTAACCTTTTGGGCATAGTTCCAATTTGCTCTCCAGAATGGTTGGATCAGTTCACAACTCCACCAACATTGCATTTGTGTCCCAATTTTTCCACATCCCCTTCAACATTTGTCATTTTCCTTTTCTTTCATATTAACCAATATGATAAATGTGAGGCAGCACCTCAGAGTTGTTTTAATTTGCATTTCTCTAATCAACAGTGATTTAGAGCATTTTTATATGACTATAGATAGCTTTGACTTCATCTGAAAACTGCCTGTTCATATCCTTTGACCACCTATCAATTGGAGAATGACTTGTATTCTTATAAATTTGACTCTGTTCGCTATATATTTGAGAAATTAGGCCTTTATCAGAGAAACTTGCTGTAAAATTCCCACCTTCCCCCAGTTTTCTGCTTTCCTTCTAATATTGGCTGCATTGTTTTTGTTTGTGCAAAACCTTATAAAAATTATCCATTTCATATTTTCTAATGCTCTCTATCTCTTGTCTGGTCATGGAGTCTTCCCTTATCAATAGATCTAACAGGTAAACTATTTCATGCTACCCTAATTTGCTTCTGGTATTGCCCTTTATGTCTAACTCATGTAACCATTCTGACTTTATCTTGTTATATGGTATGAGATGTTGGTCTGTTCTTGATTTCTGCCAAACAGCTTTCCAGTTTTCCCAGTAGTTTTTGTCAAACTCTTGTCCCAAAAGCTTGGATATTTGGGTTTATCAAACACTTGATTACTATGGTCATTTACTACTATATAGTATATACTTAATTTATTCCACCAATCCACCACTCTGTTTCTTAGCCAGTACCAGATTGTTTTGATGATTACTACTTGTAATACAGTTTGAGATCTGGTACAGCTAAATCACCTTCCTTCACATTTTTTCATTGATTCCCTTAATATTCTTGACCTTTTTTTTTTCCAGATAAATTTTGTTATTATTTTTTCTAGCTCTATAATATAATTGTTTGGTAGTTTGGTTGGTATGACACTGAATAAATAGATTGATTTAGGTAGAATTGTCATTCTTATTATATTAGCTCAGTCTATGCATGAGCAATTAATATTTCTCTGATTGTTTAGATCTGACTTTATTTGGGTGAAAAGTGTATTGTCATTGTGTTCATATAGTTTCAGGGTTTGTCTTGGCAGGTAGACTATGGCAATTTTTTTTCATGATTGTGAAAATTAGTTGTAGTGTCCCTGTGATCATTTACTTTACCCAAACAATCATTCAATCAGCAAGCACTTATTAAGCACCTACTGTGTCCAGGTTCTACGCTAGATTCTAGGAATACAAATATAAAAATGAAATAATTCCTGTCTTGAGGTGTTTATAGTTTAGTTGGGAAAGACATGTATGTACATATAGATGTATAAACAAATAGAGAATAGATTTGGGTGATTTTGTGTGAAGGTACTAGCAGCTGGGATTATAAGGAAGGTTTTATGAGGAAGGCACTGGAGCCAGTCCTTGAAAGAAACTGAAGGGGTCCTTGGATGGAATTGAGCAAGGAATTTATTCTAGGTATGAAGGACAGTTAATGCAAAGACACAGAAGTTAGAGATGGAGGGTTGTGTTTGAGGAACAGTAAGAAGTTCAGTTTGGTAGGGTTGCAGTATATGGGAAGGTGGGTGATGTGTAATAACCCTGGGAAGGTGTATTGGATCTAGGTTGTGAAGACTTTAAAAGCCAAAAGGAGGAATTGATAGTTTATCTTAGACATAGTAGGGAAATACTAGTATTTATTGAGGAGAGGAATGAAATTATCAGACTTATACTTTAGGAAAATTTCCTTAATAGCTCTGTGGAGAATGGATTGGAGTAGGGAGAGATTTGAGGCAGCAAGACCAATTATGAGGCTATTCTAATAACCCAGGTGAGAATTAATTAGGGCTTAAATTAGGATTGAGGCTGAGTGGAGAGAGGGGAACAAATACAAGGTGTGCTTGGAGATAGAATTGACATGATTCATCAACAGAATGGATATAGATGAGTTGAGGGAGAGTGAGGAAGATGTCATTGAGGTTCCTAACATAGATAATGGTGGTGCTTTTGACAGACATAGGGAAGTTTGAAAGACATGGTGGATTTCAGATTTGGACACATTGGGTTTGAGATTTCCATGGGACATCCAGGTTGAAATAATAGTTGGTGACATAGGACTCGCTCCTGGGAGAGAGGCTAGGGCTAGATATGTAGACCTGGGGGCACGTTTTTTGAAACTTATAAATAATTTTCATTTTGTCATATAGCCAGTACATGTCAGAGGCAGGGTTTAAATTCAGGTTTTTCTGACTCTGAGGGCAGTTTTTAACCAGTACAACACACTGATTCTCTTATTAAACTCCTGTGAGCTGATGAGAGAGACAGAGAAAGAGAGAGAGGG